CACGCCAGGCGGCGCAGCAGGCGGCGCCGCGTCCCCGACCCTGCGCCGGATCGCCCGAGGCCGCCCGCCCCCGTCAGCCGGGGCCTTTGGGCGCCCGAAATGGGCAGGGAAAGAATATGCACAATGCCCAACAACAAATGTTGTCCCAAACCAGCAGCGGCCACTTTTGGGCAGGCGGCCTTCTGTCTCAAGTGGACACAGGCCGCGGCGGCGCGGACAGCGAGTCCTGTTCAAAACGAACAGGAACTGCTGTTGGGCATTGTACCCATTCTTTCAGTGCCCATTTCGTTCGTCCGGGCCTGGTCATCCACCTCTTCATCCCCGTCCTGGCCCTCCTCCATGACGTCGTCGTCGGCGGAGAAGGCGTCTGCCGCGCGTCGACGTCTGCCGCGCCCGGCGCCTCTGCCGCGCCCGGCGCCTCTGCCGCGCCCGGCGCCTCTGCCGCCGCCGCCGCGGCCAACCGGGAGGGCTTCATCCTCGTCGACCTCCTCGGCAGCCGCAGCCGCGGCCGCGCTGATGGGGTTCTTCGCCTTGCCACCACCCGGCCCGGCCGGTGGTCCGAAAGGGGTGGCCCAGATATCGTCGAAGGGGTCGCTCTTGTCGATGTTCTTGCCACCTGGGGGCTTGGCCATGCGAAGCTGGACGCCTTCATCGGTTCCTTTGATCTGGCCGACGACAACCCTGCCCTGCTCCGCGGCCTTCTTGAACATCTTGTTAACCTGGTCGTGACCGCCGAGCGCTTTCTTCGACGATTCCAACTGGCGCTTCTGAGAGACACCCTGAGCGCAGACGTTCGTGACCCTGATGCAGCCGATGGGGCAGCCGTGCTTCGGCTCGCGGTAGATCTGCGGGTGAAGAAAACTTGCAAAAACACGATCCTAGCGCGACCCGAGCCACCCGAGGACACCCGAGGTCGCTCCAGGCTCCCCCAGGCAGTTTTTCAAGTACCACAACGGGGCCCCTTTGGTCCTCGAAAATATTCCCAGGGTGGCCCAGGGCGACCCCGGGCGGCTCCGGGCCCCCCCGGGCATTTCTTTGAAAACCAAAAGGGCCCCCATTCGGCACTCGAAAAACTGCCTGGAGGGGCCCAGGGCGACCCCAGGCGGCCCCCGGCCCCCCCGGGCAGTTTTTGAGGACCACAAGGGCCCTTTTTTGGCACTCGAAAACTGCCCGGGGGGGCCTGAAAGCTGAACGGAGGAGGTCCTTGACCTTGACCTTGACTCACCCTTAGAGCCATCCTGGTCTGAATGCGCCAGGCCGCGCACTATGCATGTCCTTAGAACCCCAAGATGTTCTCACAACAAGAAGAATGTTCGTGTAACATAACCCGATGTGCCGAAAGGGCCAATCGGGGCTGACCGCGGCCAGGCAGGAAGACAGGGCCAGGCCAGGAGCACGCTAAATCAGTCCAGGACAGAGGGCGGCCGGGGAGCGAGGATAGCGTTACAGGCCCCCCCTCCGCCCCAGAACCCCGACCGGGCCCTGGGGAGGGTCCAGGAAAGCACCGAGAGGGCTCCAAGAGGCCACCCCAGTGGGTGCATAACAAGAGCCTCGAGTTATATGCGCCACGGGGGGCTCTCGGGGGCCTCTTGGGACTCTCTAGGTGGCCGCTTGGAGCCGTCTTGGGGCCCTCTCGGGGCTCTCCGATGGCACCGGGGCCCCCCGGAGGAGGAGGAGGAGGAGGAGGAGGAGGAGGAGGAGGAGGAGGAGGGGAAGGAGGTCAGGAGGAGGAGGAGGAGGAGAAGGAGGAGGAGGAGGCTCGCTGAGGAGGAACATTTGATTCCACCAGCTGGCAGGGCAAAATATCTCGCAGAGGAGGAGGGGGAGGAGGAAAAGGAGGAGGAGGGGGGAGGAGGAGGAGGAGGGGAGGAGGAGGAGAGGAGGAGGAGGAGGAGGAGGAGGAGGAGGAGGAGGACGGGGGGGGGGGGAGGGGGAGGGGGAAAGGGAGGAGCAGGAGCAGGATCAGGGGGGGGAGGGGGGAGCAAGGGGAGGCGAGGGCTGGGCGAGGTGATTTCGGAGGTCGCCGCGGCCCAGCTGAGCAAGGCCGCCGCGACGGGGGGGCACAGGAGTGGCTTAGCAGGTGCAGCAGGGGCATTGATTTCTGCGGGGTAGGCATCCATGGGGGGGCCCAAGTTTCGAGAGGGGATTCGATCGAGGTCCCTCACTGTCCCCAAGATTTTAGACCCAGCGACCCCTTTATAGACGGTCCGGTTGTGCTCCAACGTGGTGATCAAGTTGGCTGGCGGCTTCTTGCCCTCCCATTTCTCGTAGATCTGGGTGGGCCAGAAAACCCCCATCTCCACGGAGGTGTCGGTCCTCACTTCGTCGGTCTTGTCGAGGGTCGTCTCCATGTCGTCCTCCACCGAAGCTTCGATGTGCCTCATCAAGCAGTTCGCCTTGTCATTCTTCCAGTCCTCATAGAGGAACAAGCCCAAGACGTAAACGGGGAACTTCTCGTTGTAGTCGTAGTCGCACTCGTCGCCCTCGCTGACGACCTCGGTGCGCGCGCACATCTGGACGATCTGATTCTTCGACATGTGTTTAAATGCCCAAACCTGCGCGCCGCGGCAACTGTAGCACTCCAAGCTTCTCGGGCGACAAGGTTGAAGGCATTTGTGGTCCCCCTTCGGGCCGGTCAAGATCGGGTTGTGAGATTCCCAGGGGCGATGGCAACATTTGCACCCCCCGCGCGGGCGATTGGCACCATTCGGGCCAACTCCGCCGCCCCGACACTTCTGGAACATCTCAACGCAGATGGCTAAACGGTTCTTGATGTCCTGGAGGGTGATGCCCGATTGCTCGATCATGTCGAAAGCGGCCATGGCGTCGGCCAGCGACTCGTCCGTCATGGTGGCGAGAATCGTCGCCATGATACTCAGTAGTTCGTAAGCTTCTTAGGTAAGCCAGCAGCAGCTAGCGACACGGCGTGCCAGACTCAGCGGCTTGAGAGCTAGGTCTAGTTGCGAAGGGCGGGGAGGGGGGGCGGCGGGGAAGGGGGGGCCAGGTCTGGTTGCGCAGGGCGGGCCTCCTTCCTGGCCGAGTTCAGCCGCGCCTCGCCGAGAGCCGAGCGCCGAATGGCAGTCTCGCGCGAAGCGGCCTCCTCCAGGTCAGAGTTGCGGAAAGTTTTTGGGGGTGGCCCGCCCGTTTCTTGACGTTGTTTCTTGTTGTTGCTTTGATGGCGATGCTGCGTGCAGTTCTGCGTTTTTGCGTGGGCGCGCGTATGCGTGCGTGCGTGCGCGCGTGCGTGCGTGCGTGCGTCCGTGCGTGCGTGCGTGTGTGTGTGTGTGTGTGTGTGTGTGCGTGCGTTTGTGTTTGTGTTTGTGTTTGTGTTTGTGTTTGTGTTTGCGTTTGTGTTTGCGTTTGTGCTTGTGTTTGTGTTTGTGTTTGTGTTTGTGCTTGTGCTAGTGCGTGTGTGTGTGTGTGTGTGTGTGTGCGGGGGGGTCCGACCAAAATACTGCAGGCTGTTTCCTGGTGGTGCGTGTTGCTTGATGTTTGCTGGTGCCGCATGCTGCGCGCGCGCCCGCACTGAGCATTGAGGTTTGTTGTTTGTTTCTGCTGCTGCATGCTGCTTCTACATGGCCATCCCCCAAAGTCACAGTCGCGCCGCCAGGCGAGGAGCGACGGCAACAACGTCGACGTCGGCCCAGGCGGGGTCGGGGAGCCGGGGAGGGAGAGGCAAGGCAAAGGCAGGAGGGAGAGACTCCGGAGAGATGGCGGCTAGGAGGGGGGAGGGAGGAGGACGGGGGAGGACGGGGGGGAATCGGGTCGGGCGAAAGGGGGGGATAGCAAAGGGGGGGTTTGAGAATCAGCTCACGTAGCTGATTTTCCCGGCGCCTCCCGGCGCCGGAGGCGGCCATGCATCGAGGAATGGGCCCCTCGGTGAGGCCGAAACCAGCTGCATGCAGCAAATTCCGTAACCCCCCCTTTCCCAATCCCCCCCTTTCGCCCGGCCCGAGGGAAGGGCGGGGTCGAGGGCCCTGATCATTAAGTGTTTGCGTTGCTGCGAAGCCGCGAGAGATCCCCTAAACCGCGGGCATAGCTGCGCAAATTACGACGACGCGCCCCAGACGTCGTCGAAAACTTCCCCCAAGGCTAAGGAGGCGCCTCTGCTCTCGGCCGCGGCGCCGACGCCGCCCGGCCCCGACGTCGTCGTCGCCAGCGCGAGCAACATCGCTAGAAATACGGCCTCAAACGAGCCCGTGTGGAATGCATCACCCGCCACGGCCCACAACTCGCGCGACGCGAATGTCGAGGCGATCGATCTGTGCCGGCCCTGGAGGTGTATCCCCTGGAGGTGAAGGGCTTCCAGGCCATGCATGATGCGGCAGCGGTCCAGGAGCAGCGGCTTCAGGCCAGGCTTCAAGCAGCTCACGTAGTTGAAGCACGGCTGGTAGCGGCCAATCTCCTGGCTCAACTCCATTGTGCCGCACTTGTCCGATGGCAGCTGCACGCCGTTGAAGCTCAAGATCTCTGCCTCTCTGGGGCATACTGCGGCGAGCCCGCCGAAAGACTCGCGCAGGCTGTCCCAGTTCGCGGGGGCGGACGGGCTCTTTCCGTGGAAGCCGAAAGCGTCGTCGTGGAGTTTGGGCCATGAGGCCCCGCTCGCCCTCGCGTCCTCGCGGCAGGGAGGGGCAGAGAGGAGGGGGGCGAGGAGGCGGACGAGGAGGAGGACAAGGACGAGAGCGACGAGGGCTGGAGGGGGCCAGGAAAGGTGCCACCTGGCGGCGCCTCTCTCCAGGCTCTATTCTGGGCTGGCCGGGCGGCTGCCGCTGCTCCCCGAACGTCGGTCTTCCTCCTCCTCCTCCTCCTCCTCCTCCTCCTCCTCCTCCTCCTCCTCCCCCTCCTCCTCCTCCTCCTCCTCCTCCTCCTCTTCCTCTTCCTCCTCCTTCTCCTTGTCCTCCACCGCCTCCTCTTCCTCCTCCTGACCTCCTCCTCCTCCTCCCCCTCCGAAGACGAGGAGGGAAAGAAGGCAGGATGGGGGGGCCATATACATGCCGGTCCTCGCGGGAGGCGCCGACGCCCGAGCGGCCGAGGCGGTCGATGCACCCCTGGACCGCGGGGTCGTCCTCGGCCAAGAGGAAGTCCTCCAGGGGGGCGGCGCCGTGGCAAGTGAACCTGCCGAGGAACTCGTTGAAGCGAGCATAGAAGTCGCACTTCGAGACGCCCAGGGAGTCGAGGAACTCGACGCGGACGCACGGGATGTAAATCCGCGCTCGGCTCTGCGGCGTAGCGAAGCACCGCGGGTCGAGCTTGGCCGCCTGGGCGTGCCATCCCCTGTCGGCCAGCAGCCGCATGGTGGTGGCCAAGTTGGACTCGTGCACGCTCTTGCCCTTCGGCGGAGTGGCGAGCCGACATACATTCTCGAAGATCGACAACGGGAGGCAAGACGCGAGCGGCTTCGTCGTGTCCAGGGTGTCCATGTAGTCAAGGATGTGGTGGAATACCTCCCCTGTCTGGCCCGTGCCATCGGCCACGCAGGTTCGGCTGTCATCCTCCGCCTCGTTCTCGTTGCAGGCCGACACAGTCTTGCATGGGAACCCCCCGATCACTCCGTCGGGGTCCCGTGGGACCGAGGCTCTCGCCCTCGGCGCCCTCGAAAACTCGTAGGCGTCATCATCCTTCAGCGACTTCACGTCCCCGAAGAGCTTGGGCCCGCGTGACCGGTCGTACGAGAAGGCGGCCTTGAGGAATTTCTGCTTCTTCGGGTCGCAGTCGCACGAAAACTGATGCACCATCTGGAACGTCGACGTGCACACCTCGCGGATCGCCTCGGCCGCTGCGCGCACGGCCAACACCGGCGCGTCACTACCAGCACATACAGACCCAAATGTGTATGTGCGCCCGCGGCAGAACATGCTGAGCGCGACCAGCTCGCCCCTGCTGCAGCGCTTGAGGCATTCGGCGGCGATGCCCTTCAGGTACCTGGGGAGGGCGCTCGAAAAAACGGGCGAGGAGGAGGAGCGCAGCGACCAGCGAGAGGTGCGACCTAATGAAAAGGGCAGAGAGACAGGCATAAAAGGGGACCCTCGCCTGGCAAGCCTAAATGGGCACCTTCACCTGTCAAGCTTAAAGGGGCACCTGGACCTGGCAGGCTGAAATGGACGGTCGACGAGGTGCTCACCCTCAGGGAGGAAGAGGAGGAGGCGACGACGACGCCGACGTCTTTGATCGGCTTGAGGCCGAGGGGAAGGTGGCCGGGGCGCATTATCCGCCCAGATCACGTGGCGGGTTTGCGCAGCGACTCAGGCGCCGCATGGCAAGAGTCCCAGTCCGGCACGCAGGCCCGGTACACAGGGAAGTGGGTCAGCAATGATGTGCCGACCTGAGCCCCTGGCGCCGCCGCCTGGGGATCCTCCGGCAGGTGAGGGAGACGAGGCCGCTTGATCTCCGGAGGAGCGGGGTCCTCGCAATGGCGACGCGGCATCCCGCGCACACGCGGGAAGTGCGACTGGGCTGGATCTCGGTTGCGCGAGGCAAGAGGCTCGAGCATATCGCGGCAGTTGTCGGTGAATCGCCTGGCGATTGACCCCCCCCAAGAATTTTTTTTTGTTGCCCGCGCAACCGCGGGCACGGGGCCTCACCAAACGATTTATTGCCCAACAAAAAGTTGACACTACCCCCAAAAAAGTTGTCACACACACAAAAAAGTTGTCACACACACCCGAAAGTTGTCACATACAAACACGCACACACCCCAAACAGTTGTCACACACACCCCCAAACAAGTTGTCACTACCCCCAAAAAAGTTGTCACACACACCCAAAAAAGTTGTCACACACACACACACGCACACCCGAAAGTTGTCACACACACACACACCAAAAAGTCGTCACACACACACACACCCAAACGAGTTGTCACTACCCCCAAAAAGGTTGTCACACACACACCCAAAAAGTTGTCACACACACCCCGAAAGTTGTCACAACCCACCCACCAAAAGTTGTCACTATCCCCCCAAAAGTTGTCACTCCACCCCCGATTGCACCCCAAACTTCGCGCGCGAAAAACGTGTCAGAACGGTGTCCTGGCACGTTTTCGGGGAGGGGTGACGACGCCCGGCGGGGCTGGAGTGACAACTTTTGGGGGGGTAGTGACAGCTTTTTGGGGTGTGTGTGTTTTTGTGTGTGACAACTTTGGGGTGGGTGTGTGACAACTTTCGGGTGTGTGTGTGTGACAACTTTTGTGTGCGTGTGTGTGTGTGTGTGCGTGTGTGTGACGACTTGTTTGGGGTCTGTGTGACAACTTTTTTTTGGGGGGGGGTGACAACTTTTTTGCGTGTGTGTGACAACTTTTGGGGGGGTAGTGACAACTTTTGTGTGTGTGCGTGTGTGGCAACTTGTTTGGTGTGTGTGTGTGTGTGTGACAACTTTCGGGGGGGGGGGGCGACAACTTTCGGGGGGTGTGTGACAACTTTTTGGGGGGCAGTGACAACTTTGGGGGGGGGGCAACTTTGGGGGGGTGGGGGGTGACAACTTTTTGGGGGGTAGTGATCATTTGTTTGGGGGTAGTGAAAACTTGTTCTGGGGGGGTACTGACAACTTTTTTTTGGGGGGGGGTCGTGGCAACTTCTTTGGGGGTAGTGACGTTTCGGGGTGGCTATTCGCGGCTGCTCCTTGCTCTGCTGGGTGACAACTTTCGGGGCGTGCGTGGCAGCTCTCCTGGGGGGAATGGCAACGTGACGGGGGGTCGGGCCAAGATCGGCAGGGCGCGGGTGGTTTTCTTGTGCGGGGGGACAACTCTCGGCGAGGCGCGCGCCAACTCTCCGCGTCGGGAGCACGGCGACGTGGGACAGGGGAGCATCGGCATAGCATCGGCATGAGTAGTCAGCAGTGGCTCAAGACCCCCCCCCTTTTTGCCACGCCCCCTTTTGTCAGTAGCGTTGCTGGGGGATGCCAGCCCATCCTCGGATGTCAGAATTTCTCCCATACCATACAGGCGGCAGTTGTTCGTTCCGACTGAGAAGAGCTGATAGAACAGCTCACGGCAACGAAAATGTCACGAATTTCGGCTCTGCCGAGCCTGTGCTTTTTGATGTTCCCGGAGGCCTCTCTAGTGCGGGGGCAGCAGTAATTTTTCGGGGGGGAGGTAGGTAGGTAAGACGCAGGCTGGGACGCTGGGTCGTGCTCTGTGTGTCTCAACGCGTGTGGCGTGCTATGACTTTGCATAGGCTCTGGGGCCGCAGATGGGCACCCAGAGTGGGAATGAAGAGGGAAACTGAAAGCGCAGACTCCGTGACAGCCAGCACATCTCTACACTCAACTCCAACGGTGCCCGATTTCTGCAGGGAGGCTACTCTGGCCACAAAATGGCTGAGAAGTTCCAGGGAGCGCGCCGTCTGCGCCTGATCCGGGGGGGAGGGGGGGGGGGGAGGGGGGGGGTCGGGGCGCTAAGAGGGCCCACGCCCCTTGAGGCATCGGGAAGCACCGGCCTAGATCGCCCCGAACGGGCCTCAGGAGGCCCGAGCTTTTGGCCGAGAGTCATCCTGTTCCACCAGGTCCTCGAAGGTCTTTCCTGGAAATGTCATTGTTTTGCGATGGCCCCACGGGGCCCCATGGCCCACGAATCGCCCCTGGAAGTATTTTGTGAAAGGCCCCACGGGGCCCCATGACCCGGCCCCTGGATCCCGCGGGCGCGGCCCGACGAGAAAAATGTCGAGGCGGATCCAACGTCGCCGACGAGGGCCCTCGAGCGAGGGTCGAGCGGCCTAGGGAAAAACCCGGGGCCCTTGTCGGCGACCAGTCCTCCCCCCCACGAGGACGCCTCGCGCTCGCCGTCCTCGCCGCCCCTCGCCCGGCCTCTCCCCGAGCGAAGGCGGGAGCCGCATCGACGACGGCGCCTCCGAGGCCGAGCGCGAGCAGGCTGGCAGGGGCGGGCGAACAGGGGAAGGAGGAGGAGGGAGAGGACGAGAAGGAGCAGTAGCCGATGTGGCTGAGGAAGAAGGGCAGGGGGGGAGGGGATGGCCAGACCAAGGGGCTCCGGATGGGGGCTCCGATCCAACGCCCAAGCTAGTATACAGGCGGAGCGCAATGTAAGAATGCAAGGCCATCGGGCCTTCCGAACTGGACGTCCACGGACGTCGAAACTTGCCGACTAAGGACGGAAGGATGCAAGAGTACCCGTAGCCTGTAAGCAAGGATCCAAGAGTGCCCTTCGCACCGCACCTGAAAACGACAGGGGGAAAGGGCGAGCGGATTTTCTGAGCATCCAATCTAGATCAGAATTCAAGGTGCGAGCGTCCCCACCGCAGGCTCCCGACGCCAACGCCAGACCAGACCTCCCCGCGGCCTGGCGACTGGCAATCTGTATCTGAATTCGACCCACTCACCTCCGCTTACGCTTTGGAGGAGGGCGTTCGGGCTTCCACTTTTCCTTTGTGTGGAAGGCCTCCTCCATGTGCTTGTCACCCGTAGTGTGCCTGCCCTGAGCAAGCCACTCTAACGCCACTGACCTAGCATGCGTCGGCGATGAGAACCATCCCGAATTGAGCATCAAAGTGCAATTCTTGTGAGTCGGGCATTTGCACGTGGTTTTGTAGCAATGCCCCCAGATGAGATGCATCCGCCCCACCTCGATATTCGTGGTGTTGTCGATGTACCTGTGGGGCCATCGATTGTAGCGTTGTCCGAAGATGTGCAAATCCAAATCCACCAGTAATCTGTCAAGATCGTGAGTGGCCACAGGGTCAGCGTCCGTCTCGACGGGCACGTCCTCCAGGAATCTAGGACTCGAAGCTTTTCACAACTTCCCCCTAAGAAGAGGAAGGGGGGAGGACGAGAAGAGGAGGAGGAGAAGCAGGATTTTCAGGCCGGGCCACTGGAATCCCCGAGGCTGGGCACCTTCAAAACATCCTTGAGGCCGCCAGGGGGCATGCACAGAACGACAACTCAATCGCACCCGTACACATACACATGCACACGCTTGCGAAACACACGCAATCACGCATGCGAATGCACTTCAAAACTGCCCGGGGGGGCCTGGAAGCTGAACGGAGGAGGACCTTGACCTTGATCTTGACTCACCCGTGGCGCCATCCTGGTCTGAGCGTGCCAGGCCGTGTACTATGTATGTCTTCAGAACCCCAAGATGTTCTTACAACAAAAGCAATGTTCGTCTAACATAACCCGATGTGCTGAGCGGAACCTCCTCATGGCTAGGCCTCGAGGTGACGGCATGGAGCCCTATAGGACCGCATCGATCCTAGGGCGTGCCCCCATAGCCATTGACGGGTGAGATGACTGCGGGAGGCATTCGCTGGAATCCCGCGGAGCATTATTCTCAAAGAGGGTAGCTGAGCTAACCTGATTGAGCGTCTAAAAAACCGACGACGCAATCTAGCAAGTCCTGACCCGCGGCGTCCTCTGATTGAGCGTCATCAGAGGGCGCCGCGGGTCAGGAGTTGCTAGATTGCGTCGTCGGTTTTTTGGGCGAGGGGGAGGAGGAGGAGGAGGAGGAAAAGGAGGAGGAGGAGGCGGGCGCCGGCCGAAGCGTCGCCAGCTTGCACTAACAACGACGGGCTATGAGCAAAGTGCACTGTAGGGATCAGCACTCGGCGAATGCTGATCCCCACCGAAAGGGCCAATCGGGGCTGACCACGGCCAGGCAGGAAGACAGGGCCAGGCCAGGAGCACGCCAAATCAGTCCCGGACAGAGGGCGGCCAGGGAGCGAGGATAGCGTTACAGGGGCGCCCTCTCTGAGGCCCCCCCTCCGCCCCAGAACCCCAACCGGGCCCTGGGGAGGGTCCAGGAAAGCACCGAGAGGGCTCCAAGAGGCCACCCCAGTGGGTGCATAACAAGAGCCTCGAGTTATATACGCCACGGGGGGCTTCTTGGGGGCATCTTGGGACCTCTTGGGGGCCGCCTGGAGCCGTCTTGGGGCCCTCCTGGGGCCCTCCAAGGGCGCTGCCCCTCGAGACCAGGCGAACTGGATTCCAGTTCGCTCCGCAATGGCTCCATATCCCGAGATCGGGCGAACTGGATTCCAGTTCGCCCCGAAATGGCGAAACACCTCCCCAAGATCGGGCGAACTGTTCGGGCGAACTGGATTCCAGTTCGCGCCGAAGTGGCCCCAGATTCCAGTTCGCCCCGAAGTGGCCCCATATCCCCCCGAGATCGGGCGAACTGGATTCCACTTCGCGTCAAAATGGCCGCAGATCACATAACAAGAGCCTCGAGTTATATACGCCACGGGGGGGCTCTCGGGGGCCTCTTGGGACTCTCTAGGTGACGGCTTGGAGCCGTCTTGGGGCCCTCTTGGGGCTCTCCGAGGGCACTGGGGCCCCCGGAGGAGGAGGAGGAGGAGGAGGAGGAGGGGGGGGAGGAGGGGGAGGGGGAGGAGGAGGAGGAGGAGGAGGAGGAGGAGGAGGAGGAGGTCAGGAGGAGGAGGAGGAGGGGGAAGAGGAGGAGGAGGAGGGGGAGGAGGA